CTGTCTCTGGTGAATCCTCTCACCTACCACATGTCTGGCCTATACCCCAGTTCTGTAAGCATAAGTAAAAATCTAAAAAAAAAAAAAAAAAAAAAAGTAAATCTTATCCAAGTTCTTGATCTAACCACCATTCTACAAAAAAAATTTAAGGAAGCAAGAACTATTTTAAAGAATGGTATGGGGATAAAGCCAACAAAATATAGACAGATAGATATCTATATATATATATAGATATATATACACACACACATACACACACTCACATAAAAAAAAAGATAGAGGGAAGGGAAAATGGAATGCTGATTTGTATAAAATAAACAGAAATTGGTGCCCTCATTGGATATTTGACAATATTAAGGAATTATTATTAATTTGGGAGTGTGCTATTGGTGTTGTGGCTATTTTTTCAAGACTTAATTAAGAGAAATACTTATTAATGATGAAAGTAGATGACATCTTAGATTGGCTTTAAAATAATCCACCAGTGAGTGGAGCAGAGAGTAGGAAGGTGGGTTTTGCAGAGGGAAAGATGAAACAAGCCAGCTCATATGTTGACAGCTATTAACACTGCACTGTGGGTACATGGAAGTTCATTATCCTATTTTCTCTACTTTTATATATTTGAAAATTTCTAAAATCAAACTTTAAAAAAGTTGTGGCATTATTAACTACAATTAAAATTTCAGTAAGCTGGAATTTGTGATAATTTGATGGATATTGAGGGCTGATAATAGGTAAAAGAAAATTATTTTCCAAGAATAGTATTACTGTGAGTCAGACCATAAAGATAAGCAAATGACTTAAATACATAAAGCATTATTTTTAGTATATGGCTATATATAAAACAAGACATGAAAGGATCACCTACTGAAAAATATTCTTCAGTTCTCTTACATATGCATTTGAAAGTAAATAAACATCATCCTCTGTTTTAAGTTACATTATATATAATTTACGTATCTGAGCCATATATACAACTGAAAACTTACTATGGGTGTGACTTTGCTAAGGTTCTGGAGATACCATGACAAGAGACTGATAAAAGATAGGTCCATGTTCTCACCAACTAAACAGTTACTTGCAAAGGACAGACATTGAACAAATTACTGTAGATAATTATCTATACAAGTATGTGCCCAACGCTATGAAGGAAAGCTGTGGCAACTAATAGAACAAATGCCTGGGCACCAACATGTTTTGCAGCCTCAGGGAAGTTCACAGAAAGAAATTCCTCAGAGAGATAGCAGCTAGCTACATGAAAGGTAGGGGCTGGAGAGAAGTTAGGAAGCAGATAAGCAATGAAGTACCTCCTGGGTCATGGGCATAGCATGTGCAGAAAGCAGACAAAGAAATCCAAGAGGAAGACACACATTAAGACCAGGGAGGAAGGCAGGACTGAAATCTGACCTTTCATGCCAAATTAAAGATTTAGTACTTAATTAAGATGGGCAAGAAGACACTACTGGCCTCAGGAGCAACATGATTATATTTGCATTTCAGAAAGATGACACTTGCCCATTGTGGTTTGGTTTGACAAAGACTGGCACAGCGTGGGTTTAAGGGACTGCAGTACAGTTTCCCAGGCAAGAGCTGATGGTAGAGAAAAGTAGACATTCCCAAGAATTTTCTTTCTTTCTTTTTTTTTTTATGATTTTATTTATTTATTCATACAGAGCTGGGGTACAGGCCAGAGATGCGGAGGGTGAGAGAATTCACCAGGGACAGAGTGGGGAGCAGAACAGGCAGATCAACAAGTACATTGCTGAGGGGAGCAGCGGGCGGGTCAGGAGAGGTCTGCCACGCCATGTGGATCTCCTCCTCCGGGGCAGGCAAGGATCGAACTTGTGCTGAAGTGGCTTAGGCTTCTTTTGCAGTGCATTAACCTGCTGTGCCACCAGGGAGGGCCCGGAATTTTCTTAAAAAATATAAAATTTAGAATCTTAACAATCTCAAACAAGCAAGATATCGCTTAAATATGAGATTCAACAGATGAAATCTGTTCAGGCTTGACTCTATTCTATGAATTCTGAGTTTAGGTTGAAAGAAGAAAGGAAAGAATGTATAGTTTCTATGAGAAATGAGAAGGCAGCAGCACTCCAGCAGAAGTACTACCGTCAAAATAGGGTATGTGGAAGGGAAGACAGGGTCTGACTAGCGACTGAAAATGAGGTATGAAAGAACTTAATACAGTGTTGTAGACAAATGTTGGTTTGCAGTGATGCCCACCTGAAATTTATATAATATCATCAAGCAATTTTACTACAATAAAAATATTAGAAATTCGGGCCCTCCTTGATGGCGCAGCGGGTTAAAGCACAGCACTGAGAATCTAAAGCCGCTTCCGCATGAGTTCAATTCCCGCCTGCCCCGGAGGTGACCACATGGCGTGGC